ATGTTCCTCCAGGTAGAAGCGCAAAGACCCAACCTGGCAATTGAGCGCGGCAATGTGTAGGGCGTGGCAGCCCTGATAGATGCGCTTTTTCCATGCTTCCTTGGCCAGGGACACGGTGATGGAAAACCTCCTGACCCAGTCCCGGGCTAGGAAGCCGCGGCTCATCAGCTTGCGGAGGATCAGCACGCACCCTCGAGAGGCGGCAGCGAGCGAGATATCGAGACCATCGGGTAGCCTTATTGATGTTTCGGCATCCAGATCTAGCAGAGCCTTGGCGCTTTCCTGGTTGCTCTTCATGGCGGCGAGGATCACGGGGCTCGTCCGGTCGTCAGTCAGCCGATCGACGTCTGCGCCTGCTCCCACGAGGGCGACGATCTTGACCGAGCGACCCGCGTCTCCGCCGCCTCTCCTGTCGCTCGCTTCGCTTTCGCAGACCAGGTTGTGGATATGCGCTCTGCCGTGTTTATTCAGCGTGTTGAGCTTGGCTTTTTCAGCGTGCTGGAGCACTACTTGGAACATGGCCACGTCGTATCTGTGGAATTCCTCGAGCACCGAGTGTCCCCTCGCCGGCGCGTGTACGCTCGCTCCCCGCTCCAGAAGGAGCTCCACGAGCCTCGACTTGCCACCCGAGATAGCCCACTTGAGCGTCATGACGACGCTTTCGTCGGTCCCGGCCGCGCCAAGACTGACCGCGTTCAGCAGCACGGCCAGGCAGGGAACGGAAAACCACGAAGGGATGTATTTGGATGTTGTCCAGACGGCTCTAACAAGCGGGACGAAGGCCGTAATCTGTGTTTGCTCTTCGTGGAACTTGATCGCCTCACTCATGCCTACTGCTTCGCTAATCCGACAGATTGCATCAACAGCCACGCTTTGTCCCTCGCGGAATTTGTGGCAATCTTGATCCTGTTGCATGGATTAGCACAGAATATCGGCCGACTGCACGAAAAGCCTGATCGTTGCGATATGGCGGATTGGCGGGGTCTAGGAGGCTTGTGCGTCCACGTCTAGGAAGAGAGGAAGGGGCAAGGGGCAGCTTACAGGCTTCAATAACATTATAACAGAATCTCTCCCAAAAGGTCCTCCCTTCCTTGTCCTTGGACCGAACGACGGACGGGACAAGAAGGGCCCGGAACACGGCAGGATCAACCAGCTGCTCAGCCGCTGGGGGCCGTGGGTTGGGAGAATTGCTACTTGGAGGAGGAGCCACGTCGGCGAGCCGGCTCATGAAATTCTCCACGGCGGAATTTCCAGCGGACGACAGTACGGCCACGGACTCGGTCCCATACACACGGCCTAGCCTTTCGACGAAGGGCTGGGACGCCCCCACGTTGAGGAAGTGGAAAGCTGTTAGGTTTTTGGCTGTCAGCGCGCCGCGCTCGATCGCATCGGCCTCGTCCAGGGCCAAAAGGAGACTTTCGCGGCCCCACTCGGCGGCGAGGTGGACGAGCGGGATGCTATTCCGGAAGGTCAAAGGATCGCCTTTGCAGAGCGGCAGCAGCACTTTAGCAGTTGGTAAGTAAAGGTATTACGATCTTCCATCCGCTTCCGAAAAAGAAAATAAGAATAAAGAAAAAAAACTCACTGCCACTTGACAAGCTCCCGAAGCGTTCTTGTATCGCTGTTTGCTGCGGCGACGTGCTAGACTGTCCGGCCGTCAAGGTCCTGAGCTCGCGATTCCGCTCCGTGATCGAGAAGTAGCTTCAGTATGCTTTCACTTTCAGCCACGTGCGGAGGAGTTCTCCCACGGGCGTCTCTTGCGAAAACATTGGCTCCAGTCCAGATCAGGACCTTGGCCAGCATGTATGCAACCTCTCCCTTATTTTCCACCGTGACATGAAGAGCAGTCTGCCCGGCGTTTTCATCCCACATCTCCGAGCCTCGGTTCTCCAGCGGTTGGTTCACGTCCCAACGCTGATCCTGCATGAGGCGGAGCATCTAATATGGCTTAAATTCCCGCAGATTACGCTCTCGCAGCCTCGAGTACATCCGGTCGCTGCAGTTGATAGGTCGGCGGGCAATCTCGGGGTCCCCGATCACCTACAAAGCCAGCTTCCTAAAGCAGACCTGTCCCGAAACAATCTGCACTGGAACTCATAGCACACTGTAAGAATAGTATTAATTAATTTGCGAACAACATCGTGCATGACCATCTTTGGGGCACTTTGGTATCCGCCTTGGATGTTCAGGCTGAATTGCTGCATAAAAGCTGGTACTGACGAAAGGGGAAAAAAAAAAGATTTATCACGGCCGCCTGTATTTCAATGTCGGACACAACGACTGCCCGCTGCACCGGCAGCTACGGGTCCGAAGGTTGGGTCTGAACCTCGACGATACCCTCCATCGGCAAGACGTCGACGCGCCCTGCCAACACGGAGATGAAAGTGGTGTCGTCCTACAACGAGGTAACGCCATTCCCTTCGGAGCCAAAGGTCATAAACATGCTCGCCCTTACTGTCACCGGGGGCAGCATCTGGCAAGATGAGAGGCCGACGACGACGGCGACGACGTCCTCCTCGACAGGTGGGGCGTGGGCACCGCGGCAGACCTGCAACGAGATCCTGGTCGGTGCGGCGGCAGCGGTAGCCGGAGGTGCGGCGCTGCTGCTTTAGGCGATTGGGGGAGTACATCAAGTGACTACCCTTGTTTCTCAAATTAAAATCGGAATGATATGCTTTAAAGAGGGACCTAGCAGCAGGAGGCTTACCGAGATATCACTTATCCGAATCCTGTAAAACTTTTCCACGGCCGTTATATTGGTTTAAAACCAGTCGATGGCCCTGACACCGACCACTTTAACCCCACGCCGCATGGGGCGTATCTTCGGTAGTGTGGCGCCTGCAGGCACAACTCTTGCTGACGATGTCAGCCACGAAGCTTTTAATCGTCTTATTGGAGGTAAGGCTGGCAGCAAAGCCAGGCGTTCATGGCCGCCCACCCTCGACCGGCACCCCGTGCGTAAGCCTTATTTAAAGGGTCTCCTTCCACCCAGCCCCTCCTCCCCCGGCGCGCGCCGTCTTTTTCGTTCCCAACTTCTCCCATCGTCGAACACGACCCACCACCAAGCACCGATTAAAACCACCAGCCAGCCGCACCATGTCTCACAGCACCACGGGCTATTTTCACTGCGCCTATAAAGGCTCCCTATGCCGACCAGCAAGGGAGGCGTGTTTTGCTGTCGGGCCCGGCCTACCGCGCTGCCTTCTACTCTCCGGCCAGGGAGGACCACCAGGCACAAAACAATTGGTTTACGGAAAAGTTCCTCCCAGCTGCGGGGGCGCACATCAAGAAGAACTACTATGGCGATGTCGACAGAAACAAAAAAGGGAGAACCTACGAGCGATACAACCAGAAGTACATGGTCCATGAGCTCAAGTTTTGCGAGAAGCTGCCGGTCCACCACGAAGGGAAGCATAAAGGCAAGCCATACGGAACAGAGATCTAGGCGCCTTCATTTCGTTTCTGGCAGGTCGATCACGGGGTTGCCGGCAAAGGATTTGTTAGGGTTGCCGTCGTTTTGTGCCTGGAAATTGGCGATGGAAGGTTAAGGCCACCATGCGGGAAGGACACCGATGCGCCTCTTTTTACTCAAAGGCGGGGTGCCGTTTGATCGGATCACGAGCGTGTAGCAAAAGGATCCATTTGGCAATGTGGTTATGGGACGTGTAGTAGTCCTCCTGCCCTCCAGCGCTATGGTACGGTCGTAACAAAAGTATATTCCCAACCATCCGTCACACCACCTGAAAGGTTTCAATCTTGGTCCCCGCTGGAAGTTCCATTTCGTCCACAAATATTCCTTCCCGAATCTCTGCAATTCCGCATGGCCCAACCAGCTGCCACTCCTCCTGAGAGTGCCTCCGTAAAACATATGGCTGTGGACTTCCAGGGAAGGCGCAGATTGAATCCCCCACCTCGGTGTCCATTGACACCGCGATCAGTCGCCTGCCAAACTTACCACCCTCCATCTCAGCGGGTTTGTAAAACTCCCAATTCTGTAGAGACGGACTAACGGCTTTGCTGTCATGGCCGTTTATCGAGTTCCATGTTGCCTTCCCATCACCCCAGCAGTTGTTCACGTATCTCCTCGCGAGGCTGGATCTCGGATCGGAGATAGAAACACCAAACATCTTGCAGAATGACTCCATGAAGCTTTCCGGGCCTAGATCTAGTCCGAGAGATGCGAGCCGCCCTCTCAAATTAAGAGCATCAAGGTGGATCGTGTCGTCGTCATCATATCCGACGACCATAATGAGCACGTCGATGGCAATGATGGCATACATGCCTTCAGAGATATCATGCTGTTTGAAGAACAGCAGCGTGATTATCCGAAAAGTGTGTGCATCCATCGGTCCCTCAGCAAGCTTGGCTCGGAGGGCGACTCGGAGCCAGTTGTGGGAAATTCGGCCCTGTGGGCGCTGCTTGCCGAAGTCCCAAACGTTTTGCACAATGCCCAGTTGTGTGCCCTGTAGGCATAGAGTTTGATCGTTGACGAAGTGATTCCCGCTCTTTTTAGTGAATCGAATGTGTGTATCAGAGCCACAAGTTCTGATGAATGGAACTCCCACACCGTCGGAAGCAGGAAATGGGACCCATGATGGCGCCCCTTTGAGGGAAGCAAATAGCGGAGCCGCCCGGCGAAAGATAGCATGCAACGCATCTCCCCCGAATTTTTGAGATCGAAGGAGTGCAGCCACATATTCAATTTGCACTTGTCGGAAGGATTTGGTGTAATCCACTTGCATATCCAAATTAGACAAGCTCAGCATGCCAAAGACGTGGTCGTGGCGGTCAGTCGCGTCAAGCTCGAACCCAATTTTTGAGAGGACTTCGGTGTATGACCGCAGTTTGTGAAGTTGGCGCGTCATAAAAAGATCCAAGAAGTCCGCGCTTCGGCTAAATGATGGCGGTAAGGCGCGGACGATGATGGGTATATCCGTGTCCATAATAGTCCCCCAGAGAAAGTGGCTAAAGGCGAATAATAAAACACCGTCGGCATATCCGATAGCCTCGATGTCCCCAGAGACTGATGGTGTGTACATGACCAACCGCCTTGCCAAAACAAATTCTTGGCATATCCAGACGCGCTTCCAGTTGGGGAGGTCGTGAAAGTGGGAAACGGCTTCCCACCTAGCTGTCGCGATCGGATCTCTCTCATCGCCGGGTCCAGGATTCCCGTAGAGTGCAGTCTGATCTCGCAGCAGGTTGAAAGCCTCTTCAGTAGTTCCAGGCAGCCCCCGTCCGCGGACGGCATTCCGATCTCGCAGCAGGTTGAAAGCCTCTTCAGTAGTTCCGGGCAGCTCCCGTCCGTGGACGGCATTCCAAACCTTGCGCAATGATTCAAACGCCAAGTGAATGACACCATTCGGATCAAGTCCAAGCCACGCCAATACCATGTCGGCTTGGGAATAGATGCTCGCCATGAGCCCGACCTGGTGGTTCCTTTCAGGGATGTCGTCCTGGTTAATGCAGAGGGCATCTGCCCAGAGCCTGAATGAGGATAGCGGCCTTCTCGGGAACTCGCGCTTCCAGGCGTTGCCAGCGTGCCGGAGTGCAGATTCAAGCGACCTTGTGACCACTTTGTCCCTGCCGTTGACGATGATGACAACCTGGTTGTGGGGGTCGTTGCGGTCGCCCCAGACGTAAGACAAGGCGGAGAACTTTAAGTTTGCACCGAGCACGACGGTATGCATCTGGCATTCCAGCTTTTCTCCCGTGGTATCGATGATCTCCAGGACGCGGATCTCGTGCGGGTTCTTGGAAAGTGGCGAGTATAGCGAGCCCGACATGCGTTGCTTGCCTTTGTCGATGGGTTTGGGGATTTGGGGCTTCATAACTTCGGTAGTTTGTGTGTCCATGGCTTCGGCGGCTGTGGAGCTTTGCTGGGCAGGAAAGGCCTTTTCGAGATCGACCGGCGATGGTTGCTTGCCTTTATTCATAGTTTCGGCAGCGCGGGCATTTGGTTGGTGGTCGATTAAAGACGGCTCCTTTCCTTTATCCACATCCTCGACTGTGTTGGGACTTGACTGGAGGATGCGGGCTTGTCCAGGGTTGGTTGATGATGATGGCTTGCCTTTATCCACGTTCGGTAGCATAAGGATCTCGCTAGGGGACATGGATCGTCCGGGTCTAGTCGGAGATGGTTGCTCCCTTTTACCCGTGTTGGTTACAGCGCCATAGACCTTTTGGATGACAGGGGCTTGTTCGGCATCGATCGGTGGTAGTTGTTTGCCTTTATCCGAATTTTGATGTTCGGCAGCGTGATTTTGCTGTGTGGCAAAAGTTTGTTGAGATCTTGCCGGTGGTTCGGTGGCAGACTTTCGAGGGCTGAACCTGGCGGCGAAACGAGAAAGCCCCATGGGGAGATGGAACTTGGCAGCAAGCCTAACAAGCCACATGTTGGATGTTTGCAAAGAATGATAGCAGGCAGGCAGGCAGGCAGGTAGGTAGGTGGGTGGTAATTAGGGACGCGCAATAGCCTTTATAGCATAAAGCATAGCGTAAAAAGTAGGCATAAGTACGGGCTTTTCCAAGATGGACGTGATGCTCCGAGAATCGTGGGAGGGAGAGGCCCTGGTATACATCGGCTAGGTGAATTGTTCGCTTGGCCGGCGGGAGATTTAACTACTTAACGTTCACGCTGCGATAGGCACGTTGATAAATCGGGCGGCAATTAGGCAGCAAGAAATTATGATTTCGAAGGCGAGGTGAGCCAGCTATTGGCGCCATGCAAGCGCCTCTTAAACCACGATAAAACGACAACTAGCAACCTTTACGGGCGGTAAGGCCTTGGCATCGCTGCTATGGCCTCCTATAGGCGCGGGAGAATTTTCTAATTTTATGACCAAGATGGAATCGGTGGGCTGGAGCGTTTCGCTGCCGCAGCCCCGGGCAGCCCGAAGCGTACGTGGCGGCAAGGCTTTCGGCGAAGCCGGTGGTTGCAACTTTTATTATCCTTTCCCGTGCAAATCCAGCCATGACAGGGCTGCTCGCTGCTGTGGCTTGTGTCCAGTACGGCGACGAGCGAAACAGGGGCGCCATGGCTGCCCAAGAGGGGCACATGTACTTCTCACCCTGAGCTCGTGCTGGACCCGCCACTTGTCAATCTGTTAGCGCGACGCCTTAGAAAGGGCGTGGCTGGCGCGTGCAGGCAGCCGCTGGGATCCGGCCACCACCAGTGCCAATCCAGGTACCTTAGTTGGGCGTGGGCGCCTCACTTGGCACCTGCGAAAACCCTCGCGCGCCACACGGCTGAGTCCTTCTTCGCTTCCGATTCTGGCGGGATCTTTCAATGAATGTGACGTCACCCGGCGACTTTGGCTGTGGGGCGATCGTACCCACGTGATACCAACGAATCCACTTATCCCACCTGGGCAAGTGAGGTGTCTGTTGCCAGTTTCGTCGCCTCGGCCTCAATTCATTCTCATCACTCAACTCAACGCCCATCAACGCAGCCCATCAGCCAACCACCCAGCCGTCTTTTTGTGTTTCCGCACTCCTGCTCGTGCTTCGAGGCAGGTATTTGATCTTCGTTGAGTCGATCGGTCCAGAAGAAGCCGGGTTTGGATATTTCTCGCGCGCAGCTCCCCCTCGTTGGTAGAACCTGCAGCAGGCCTGTCCTACCAGGTCTCTCGTCACGAAAGCCTTCGGAGCTCGAGGTCCACGCTTCTTCGGAAGTTGACAGTTGGATTGCGTCCCAGCGACGTGTCCTCCAGGGATTGAACGGCCACTCGTCCATTGACCATAGTGGTAAGAGGGACTCATACATGGGCGGGGGGCGTTGAGCAATCAGCGCCGTGTCCATGTCCAAAAGCGCGTCCAGCAGTGGCGAGGGAGCGAGTTGTGCGCGGGATCGGAAAACACCAGACATTTGGGTGTCCATCTGGGGGCGCGACGCCCTTTTCTTCTTTCCTCCTACACTTGCTTTTTCTTCTTTTTTTCTTTCTCTCCACGTGTTGGACGCAATGCCGCACACCACGACGCCCGCCATCGCGACCTTTAATTCGAAGCTCCCAGTTGGCCGGCCTTGACGTGGGACACCCGGGGCTGCCAGCCTCTACGAGCATGCGCCGGCTTCCACCAGATGCGCCGCCCGCAGTCCTCCACACGAGACGCAAGACACGAGATACGGCACGCAAGACACGCCATCCACGAGATTTCATGCCTCACGACCTGTCTGCCTCCCCTCACAGGGCCTCCCCCCGGCCTATCCAAAAGCCTCTGCCCTCTGCCCGCAGCCTTCCACCTCAGATGCGACAAGCGACGCGCGTCCTTCGTCCGCTTTCATTCCACACGTCCTGACCGAGACCCGCCCCATTGCTGCCCGGTTTTAACGCCACTCCTTGCCCGCTCCACGCCGGCCCAGGCGGCCAAAACTTGAACTTCACCGAACAATGCCTACCCTCCCTTGGCCGCCTTGAGATTTCTGTCGACATTGTCATAACCAAGTGCTCCCTCTGTTTCGTCTGGTTACACCTTTAATACACCCACCCGATGATATCGGACTTGATGGTTTGGCGCGAGTGCCCAGCCGAGTTTATGTCCCCCAACAAGCTCACGTTACAACAAGGGATGTGATGAGTGTCATTTTCAGCGCCAGCTACGCTGTCTGATCCCTTCGCCACAGCGCTGCGGCCTCGAGCTCGCATGGCGCTAAACTCTCGTGAGAATGAATGCCCCATATCCGCCCACTCGCTGCTTCCGACATGCATCATCTCCTTCGGACCTGGTTAGCTCGGCGACGGAGCGAGAATCATGCGCCCTTGGTATGATCTGCTGGATCTCGACCGTGAAGATTTTCCTGTTTCCAGCGATTGGTGTGCGGGGCTAAAGGTAGCTACTTGGCAGGAGGTTATCCAGTCTTTTGCGAAAGCTGCCTTTCTGGTGCCTGGTCTGGGCCATCATACGAGACAGATGACCTCGAGAATCTCTAAAATTCTTCTCGCGGAGGTGCCCAAGTCTGCACAGTTCATGTCAAGACGCATTTTACACGATGGCTCGCTGCGTGGAAGTCCATGCTGGCGGCAAGTTCTTGAAAGACACTGAAGTCCGGCCTCAGTGGTCGTCATCTCATCATGGCAATTGTCCATTCCAGCCTGCAAGAAGATCGGACTTCTTTTTCCTTTTCCATCAAGCGAAGGGTTCCCGTCGTCGCGATGCCGCCCCTTCCCGTGCTTTGTCAAATACGTGGGCCCTTGCAAAGCAGTTCCTGTCGGCAGCACGTGAATGTGTGTTCACGGGACGGGCAGGGCTGGATTTTGTCTGGATTATTCCAAAAATACTCCCGCCACATGGACACGGACTCTTTGCCCTGGCTCCCCTCAGCACTCGTCATACCGGTGGCCACCGTCGGTGCCGTCAAGCTTCCGCATACAAGGCTGTTAACAATATGGCGCCTGTGGTGTTGACAGCTTGTGAAGCCGGCTGGACAACACCTTTTCAGCCTGATGCACTGCTGATTGTCTCCCAGGGGTCAATACGTCTGTAGTAGGTGCTGTTCAGGCTCGGAAAAGCCCTTTTAAGAATATGGTTCTGGCAAGATGGTCAGTCCACCAAAGAAAGGGATAAGGCTGCCCTCGTCCATGGATGGATGCCGACAGGGAGGAACCTTTCAGGTGTTGATGGCAGACAGCGTTGGCAGCAAGCGCTGTCGGCTGTGAAAGCCGTGCTCTGATGATCGTCCGCCATCCGGTGACGCGTCGGGCAACCCCCGCGATGGCCATTAAGTTTGTCCATCACAAGGGCTCGGATAACAGACCAAAACCGTAAGTTTTACGCCCGCCGGACGCGATCCACGTAATCTTATCATTCTAACCATCGCAGGACCATCTTCTACTTCACGCCCACCAGGAAACTGATTTTCTGTCCCGTCAGCATCATCATCGCGCTCGCGCTACACGACCACGCTTTCGACGCGCCGAGCTTGACAGACGCCTCGCGAGTGCTTGGCACGAACATCTCGGGGTCCAGGGAGTGCATGCCTCTGCGGTGGAAGCAGTCCATGCTCAAAATCCCCGTTTTCCGCCGCTTCGGCCGCAACGGAGTCCTCTCCGACACCGAGGCCATGCTCTATGCCAAGCTTAGAGATGACCTGGGCCGACAGAGCCTAGAGGCGGGATTCGAGGTTTGCTGGACACCGAAGTTCTTCCGCAGAGGAGCCGCGAACGCTGCGAACGGTATGGCCCACATAGGAGTCAACCAAGAGCTTAGGTAATTTGGCCAAGGGAAACCGCTAACTCTAATCCAGGGAACGCTCCGGACGTCGTCCGAGACCAGATGATGCGCCACGATCCCAAGTTCTCCACTTTTCACGGCGCCTACCTCAACGAAAGGGTCAAGTTCGATTTGCAGAACACCTTCCTCGAAGAAGAGACGGAAAATCAGCTGTACAAACTGTTCGCGCACGTCAGCATCACCCGCGACCCTCGGGCGAAACGTAACATGGTGCCAGCCGAGGTGTGGGCGAACCTGCTCCCAGACCCTGAAATCGCCGAATTGGAAGAGCAACGAGCAGCGTTCAAGCGGGGACAGTATCGTATTCACGGCCGGGAGAACGAGAAAGCGGTTCGCGTGCTTACCGAGGAGATTAAGCGCAAGCGGGCGCAACGCGAGGATAGGGTTGTGAGACAATATCGCGAGTATTACTTCTACCACCGGCCGACCTGGGACATTGAGAGGCAAGCACTGGGCGAGGTGGAGGAGGAGTATGAAGAGCCCAAGGTGGAGCTTGACATTATCGAACGCGCACGGCTTGCCGAAATCTGGTGTGACCAGCCTAACAACTGGTCTGACGACGAGATCTTGCGCCACCGTATTGAAGCCATCGATCTGATGGTGTCTCTTTGCAACAAGCGAGAAACCCGTCGGCGCGACCACATCCGACAGCGAAAGCAAATCGAACCCCCCATCAAGCAAAAGTCGCCAGATCTTTCGCCCGAACCCGATTCGTTCCCGCTCCTAATGGATCCGAACCAGTGCCCCGACTGCATCGGCGACGGCCGGCTTTCGACGGAGGAACGGACATTCACCTTCTCCCGTCCGACTATCCGAAACGACCACTTCGATGACCAGCACCTTGAAGCACGCGAATTTGCCCAGCGCCGCGGCGATCCCATCCGCTGCGAGCATCCCAAGTGTGTAGACGTAAAACTGGAGACATTGGATCACTTCCGGAACCATGTCATGACTGTTCACAAGGTCGCACTTCGACCGGCGGACCAGGCGGAGACTCGACGACGCAAGAAAACCAAGCATCGCAAAATGGCTCGGGGGCAGGGACAAGGGAGGTAAAGCAGCTCCGCGGGCCAGCATTACCAGCCTGTCTTTTCCCGCTGTGGCCCTGAATTCCATATTGCACACGGCACACCCCACGCTAGGTATTTTTTTTTTCTTTTTTTCAAATAATAGTTCGCTATCCGCTGCGCGGTGTTACGATTACGATGCAGGTGTACCTGTTCCGGGTAAGGTGTTTTGGGTCGGAAGTAGTAGACCGAGTGACTCTGGGGTTCTAAAGAATAAAGCTCGATAGATGCAGTCGGCTAGTGGGCCGACTAGAGTGCAAAATGAGATTGACTTACGGCGACCCTCAGACAAACGTTCTGCCTACATGGTAAAAAGCACCCGCATATATATCCAGTGGTCTTAGCTTGATCGCACTGATCGCTCATTCCAGCCGTGGCCGGGTCCGCCCAATAGCCTGCTCCCAAAATGTAATGCGACGCTGGATCGAGCCACAGGTACAGCCAGAAACAGTAGTGGCGGCCGTCAAGCGCGTACGGGTGTCCACAGATCCGGCGTCTGTCAACGGCAAGGCGGATGAAGGCAGAGAGGACGTGCTGCCAGCCAAGCGACATTT